TTGATTTTTGTGTGCCTTCTTTTTTTTTTCTTTTTTTTTTTAAATCTCACTGAAGTTTATGTGTTTTTTAGTTATTGATTTCTGTGTGCCTTGGACTTGTTAAGTTTTTTTTTTTTTTTTTTTAAATCTTACTGATGTTTATGTGTTTTTTGGTTATTGATTTTTGTGTGCCTTGGACTTGTCAAGTCTGTTTTTTTTTTAAAAAAAAATTCTTACTAAAGTTTATGTGTGTTTTGGTTATTGATTTTTGTGTGTGTTTGGACTTGTAACAGATGAATCAAGAGTCTTTTCTTGAGGAGCTAGCAGAAGAGTTTAGGTTACCAATAACACACAGAGTTACTGAAAACGTTGATCTAGAGGATGTGGAGCAAGCTTCGCTAGACACAATGATATCATCTTCAAACGTAGGGTTTCGTCTTCTTCAGAAAATGGGGTGGAAAGGGAAAGGTTTAGGGAAGCAAGAGCAAGGTTTGTGTAGTGTTAGCTCAAACTCACACAACTAGTTGTGTAGAGCTGTTTGATGATCATTTGTGTTTAATTTAGGCATCACGGAGCCTATAAAGTCCGGTATAAGGGACCGGAGACTCGGTTTAGGGAAGCAAGAAGAGGATGATTACTTCACTGCAGAGGAGAATATTCAAAGGAGGAAGCTTGATATTGAGATCGAGGAGACTGAGGAGATCGCTAAGAAACGGGAGGTATGCGCTCTCAAAAACATCTTTTGGATATACCCAAAAAGAGCACAAGGGAGTTTTTTTTATTACCTGGTTGGTGTGGCTTTCTTCTACTGCCCGCTTCGTGTCCGTTATGACAAATCCAGGTGTTAGCTGAACGTGAGCTGAAGATAGAGAGTGATGTTAAGGAGATTCGCAAGACCTTTTACTGTGAGCTTTGTAGCAAGCAGTATAGAACTGTGATGGAGTTTGAAGGTCACTTGAGCTCGTATGATCACAACCATAAGAAGGTAAAGAAATAATATCTAAACCCTTATTCTTGTTTTGGAGTTTTTCGAAAGTGTTAAGATTAAGTGTTGGGATTATTATGCAGAGATTCAAAGAGATGAAAGAAATGCATGGTGCAAGCGGCCGTGATGATAGGAAGAAACGAGAGCAGCAGCGTCAAGAAAGGGAGCTGACTAAAATGTGCTCAAAACGTTTTTACTATATGTTCCTCTTACATGTTTTGAAAGATTGTGTATGCTCTTAACTTAGAGTGTGGTTTTGTACTTGTTAGGGCTGATGCTCGGAAACAACAGCAGATGCAACAGAACATGAAAGAAGACCCAGAGGATGTCCCAGTTCCATTACCTGCTAATCCCACTCTTGCACCACTTGCTGTCCAAGATCAGCGGAAGACATTGAAGTTTGGCTTTTCTTCAAAAAGCGGCAATACATCAAAGGTATCATATGTTACCTTGTGACGGACTAGTACTGGTTAGCCGTCTACACCATATCACTGAAGCTGGTTATATGTTTCATCTTTGTAGATCCAACCCAAGAGCATCAACAAGAAGCCTAAAATAGCAATTGCATCGGTTTTTGGCAACGATAGCGACGAAGATTAAGGTTTACCTCATCATCGAGAATATTGTACTAAATGTATTTTATGGTTCTTCCTTTCATACATTTAAAACAGAACATGGTCTGAAAAAAATCTTTACCATCTCAGAACCACAACACAGCCTTACAACTTCTTTGTGTTTGTTAAATCTTAAAGACCTTTTGGCTATTCCAAAGCTTTTTACTCCAATGAATCAATGTATTCAAATTTTTAAAACTCTAAAAGATCGTGGGGAATTCAACATTAATTTAAAATCGTATCAAATAGTTGGATTTGTTTTCCTAAATTTTGGAAATGAGCAATTGAAACTCAACTGCTTTTTTTTACTATCAGAAATGGAGTTAAAATGTTAAAACGAGTGTATAAAAAGTTACAATCTTAGCAATTACTATGGAGAGAAAGAAATAAAGTGGTTTCTATCCCCAGTCAATGGAGGGAAGTTGAGGATAGCCTTGCTCAGGAGGCGGTCTCAGAGACGGTGGAAGATCGAACCAACCTGTTCCTCCTCCTCTCCCACTAATGAAATCACCTATGTGTTTTTGAACAACAATATTAAACTTTCTAATATCAAGATTTCTACAAGTTTTAAAGGACTACAACTAGTCATATAATTATACTTAAAAGAAAAAGAGAGAGAGCATACGGTTTAAACTACTTCCTTGGGTGTGTTGGTTAGGCAAGCCAACAAGAGGTTGTGGATTATTATTATTACTGTATCCTGCATTTGATAATGGATTCAAAATGTGATGATGTGTCTGAGCAAGTACAAGACATAATCTATAAAGGTTGTAATGGAGACTTCTAAGCTGGTTTTAAAAGTCTTTGAGTTACTATATACCTATGTTTCCTGGAATGTTGTTGTTAGGGTGCAAGTATCTGCAAGAATCTCCGAATGGGCAAAAGTTCTGCAAAAACCCTCCAGAGTTTCAGTTCTAAAAGGACAGGAACACAAAGATGGTACTATTACATAAACCCAAAGTCACATATTACTACAAACCCCACAAACAGAGGGAAAAAAAAAGTGAACTAGTTGGGTTTAGAACTTCTGATTCAAGTACAAATTCATTGAAAGAACAAGACTTTACATAGCTAAGACGATGAACAGAGACAAAAGATACAAACTTTTATTATGTAGTAAAGACATACCGATGAAACGAATCGATTGCAGAGACCCCTCGGCACAAAGTTGGAGACTTGATGATTATTAACATCTTAAAAGAAGAACAAAAGGAAGATGTTAAACTAAAAAAAAAACAGAAGCCAATCAGAGAGAGAGAGAGTACCTGAGGTGGTTGGAGAGCTGTACCAAAGTGCTTTAGCTCTAAGATGAGGTTTGCTCTTAAGATGTCTTTTTCTAGCTACTTGTGTGTCCTGAAACTCCTTTTCGCAGTAATCGCAGTAGTATTTCCCTGACGGCATCTCTTTTTTCTCGTAACTAATAAGCTCGCAACTGCTTTTTTTGTTATTCTTATAGATTAGTTATTGGTTTAGTCCGGTTTAGATTTTTGGTTTAGAACATTGGTTCAAATGAGAGTTGTGTGGAGGAAAGAAAGAAAGATTTATGAAACATAAAAGTACCAAAACTCTTCTATTACACTATAAACCAACCACAGAGATGATAACTCTTTTTTTCTCTACTAATACAACAAATAAAGGGAACATACATATCAAGATTCTGGATACAGAGAGACAGTTGTCTTTGTCCTACATTTAGAGCTCTTTTGAGGAAAATCACAAACCAAGCCAAGGACACTGCTTCCTTGCATGTTCAGGTACTAACTTAGCTACAATCTCCATTGCTACACCTTTCAACTCTGTTTCAGAACAATGACAAAAGAGGGTTTTTAGTGAGTGTGCTCAAGGTTGATTTTGTAGGACAAAAACTATAGGAAAGGAAGATGTATAAGTACCGTGAGGCTTGAAGTTGAATAGTGGTGGAAGGAAACGTCCATTAGGTAGACGTGCACTTGGATCTCTTAGCTCATCAAAGAATGGGTGGACCAATGTGTCAAGCTGTGACCAAGATGCAAATCCATGTCAGAACAAACAAATAGATTCAGAGAAGAATGTAGACTTGTAAACACACTCACAGCTGCAGATCTTAAATTGGGAGAGTATTGAAGAAGTCTTGAGACCAAATCAACAGCTTCCGGAGGCATGCGTTTGTGGAAAATCTGTTAATGTATATATGTTGAAAACATATGTCAAAAACTGGTCCTGAAGAAGACAGTGAACAGCATGTTGTATCTTGGTGTATATAATACCTTGTGCCATGGATGAGCTTTAATCTGAGGGAACTTGAACTCAGTGTAGTTAGGGTTCATGCACTTGATTTCTTCCCTAGTAGGCGTTCCCAAAACCTAATTACATCAAAACTATTGAATTAAAAAGTGCTCACAGGAGTGAAACAAGTGAAAATGTTATTACCTTGATAATCTCTACAAGTTGATCAACACCACTCTCACCAGGGAACAATGGCTGCCATGAGCAGATGAAAATACTTTGTCAATATCACAAAACTCCAGTTTGTGTATAACAAAAATGTTTTGAATTAGCTTTACCTGTCCAAGCAAGAGCTCAGCAAGAACACATCCTGCAGACCAGACATCAATAGCTGTTGTATACTCAGTTGCTCCAAAAATAAGTTCAGGTGCTCTGTAATACCTTGAGCAAATGTAAGAGATATTTGGTTCTCCTTTCACCTGTTTACACGAGTTGCAATGATTACTAAACATTCAAATAAACAGTACCAAGAAGAAGAGACTTTTTTATCTTAACGTACCAATACTTTTGCACTTCCAAAATCACATAGCTTCACTTGATGAGTGTGTGGATTTACCAACAAGTTTTGTGGTTTGATGTCACGATGACACACGCCAATACACCGGTGAATGTAAGATAAGGACCTAAAAATCTGATAGGTGTAAAGCTTGACGTAGATGAGAGGCATTCGCTGGTTAAGTTTGTTGTAATGTTTGATAACACGATGAACTGTCTCCGGGACGTATTCAAGAACAAGGTTGAGGTAAAGCTCATCTTTCTCAGTGGTTGAGAAGAAGCAATGTTTTAAAGAGACAACATTAGGATGGTCAAAGAGCCTCATGGTCTGAAGCTCACGGTTCTTGTACCTCCGGTCTTGTAAAACTTTCTTTATTGCAACAGTTTCTCCTGTCTCAAGACACTTCGCCTGTAAAACAAAGGAAGCTAACTCAGCCATTGCCACATTGGTTGTTAAACTATATCATATAGTAAGGGGAACAAAAACTCACTTGAAACACAACACCGAAAGATCCTTGCCCAACAACACGTTCTGCCATGTAGCTAATCGTCTGTATACACATTTTTGAGTAATTAAACTGATTGAAAAAATAAGATTTTGTAATGTTTAATACAGAAAAAAGTTAGAGAAGGTAACCTGTTTTGGTTGGCCGTTTCTTCCACCAATAGTAGTGACTATTATGTGGCCAGTCTCTGTACCGTTCCCATCTACCACTATTGGTTCCATTTCCTACCAATCAAAACCCAATCATTAGATTTTTTTCATAGTGTTATAAAAAAAGAACAGTCTAGACGGCAAATTGGACTAAGCCAAACATTTTTTTCTGTAAAAAAATTGATCTAGGAGTTCAAAAAATCGGTCTAGGCGGACAAATTGGACTAAACCAAACATTTTTTTCTAAAAAATCGATCTAGACGTTCAAAAAATCGGTCTAGGCGGGCAAATTGTACTAAGCCAAACATTTTTCTTCTAAAAAATCGGTTTAGGCGTTCAGTAATTAGTAATGATCCTTACTAATTACTGCCTAGCCATTTTTTGAAGATTGGGTTTTTATGAACATATAAAAGTAAACTATGAGCAGACACTATATAATAAGCAGCAAGTGAATAAAAAACATTACTTTATCGTCACGAAGTTTCATGTCATTCATTTCTTGAGGAAGTTTATCGAGACCAGTAGTAGAGTCTCTAGCTCCAGAAGCTGGAGGTATAGCCACAGATGCCATTTTTCAGGGTACAACAAAACAAGTTTCCTTCTTTATATTATAACACTCTTGGAGCTCTCAAGCCTGTAACAATATAACAACAGACTTGGTTAGTAATATCAAAAAAACTTTAATTTAGAAATAAAATCTGAGTGGACAACGCAGGAGATGAAGAAAACTCAAAAAGGAAATTTTGATGGTAAAAAAAAACATTGGTGAAAATGTTTTCATGAAAAAAAAAACTGAGCTTTATAGAAACAGATCTGGGAGCTAAAAGATCTCAAATTTTTGGTGATTCTGGAAAAAAAACAGAGACCCAGAATCTGAAATGAGAAACTTGAGCAGAAAATAATAATCTTTAAAGACGTACCGATGAAAAAAAAAACGTGAAATCTCAGATTTAGATAAAGATGAAGGAGAAGAAGAGATCCGTACGGTTAATAAAGAGATTGTGTGTTTGATGATGAATGTCTCTTCCTTCTCTCTCTTTCTCTAACTTTGTTTTTTTTTATGTCCTGTAATGTTTTCTTTTCTTTCTTCGGTTTTTAAAAGTGTATCATATGCTATAATGCGTCTGGAGACATTTTTATACTATTGGTTTATAAGTAAATAAACATTTGATTAGAGTTTTTTTTTTCGAAGTGAGTAAATAAGATTTTTTTAAAGTTACATTGGTTTAAGGTTTTTTTCCTCTTTTATTGAGTTTTTGACCATTCAAACTTTTGTTCTTTCTCCCAAAACACACGACAAACGAGAGAGAGAGATAAGGATGATGGTAATTGGCAAATACACATTGATCACAGAACCACACATTGATAGAACCAATCAGTATGCAATGCTTCTTTGAATCTTTTGAATTGTCTGCATATAAAAATGAATCAAAAGCCATGTTATCAATGAGGCTAATATTTGTGTTTCATTACACATTACACATGGGATGCAAGAATGGACCAAGCAGACTAACGTGTCGGATAGGCAAAAGACGACCATTTTATTAGGTGGAGGGAACCACCCTATCTAGTAAGTTACCTCAATAATTCATCCAATTATTTTATTGTATCCCTACAACATTCAATGTTTTTAGTTGAATTTTTTCGAAATATATTTGGACAATTCTTCTAATTTTTAATTATTCCAAGGACATTCATTTATTGTGAAACAAAAAACAATTTTACAACAGACAAAGGATTTTGATGTAAAAGTAATCTACAAAGGAAAATGAAACCAGGAAGGAAAAAATTAAGTAAAAAATTGTTTTTAGTCAATCATAATTTTCTTCTCACATGCATGGAAAAACTTATGAAAGAGTAGAGTCTATTTTCGACTTCAAAACAAGTCACAGTCAATAACATTTGACATTTCTGTTCAACCCTATAACCCACGACTTCAAACAGTTTTCATTCATAACACAATTTACAAAAAGAAGCAACACAGCGTCTCTGACCCACTTCATCAAATTATTTGACCTGACTTACCGATTTTTCCCACACATTTTCTTCTAATAACATCCACCAACAAAGGCTTCTCAATGATACTGTATTCAGCCGACTATTGATGACTAGTGAACTTCTTTTTGAACTTTGAAACGCTTATGATTTTAAATAACTTTCTCTTAAACCATGTACATTGAAAGTAAAAGAAAAAATATTAAAATAAAATTTTGACCATGATATTGTCTCTATCTAGTTCTCCCCTTGAACCTGTGGGGTGGAGTTCATCACTGTTTTACGGATTCCACGCCACGTGGCGGTCCGCTATTGGTCAGTGTAATTTTTTTTAAAAAAAAAAATCAAACAAAAAAATAATAATAATAATAATAAAAAACTCAAATTGTGAACTCCAACCGCGAATTCATTAATGCGTTTTCTCTTAGTTCTAGTTTAATTTTTGTCTTGGAAGAAATTTTAACCACCTTAAGAAGCATTTTTCTCTTGTCATTTGCAGATGATGAGTCTATAAATCAACTCATCCACCTCATCAGTCATCAACATGTTATGTGGAATAGTTCTCAAGGGACAAACAAACCATCAGTTCCAAAACCCAAAAAGTAAAATGGTAAATCATCTTTTGTAGATTTTCATAAGTCACAAACATGAATTCACTCAGATTGTATGACACGATTTGTGGCCAATATTGACATTGTTTCATTATGTGACTCATGGTTTGGAATCTAATCAAATATCTCCACAGACTAATTATTTAACTATTACTACAAAGTACAAATTTATAACCTAGTAAAGCAAAATGGTATATGCACCATTATCTACTGTCACTATCTGCAACTACTACAATTACACAACAACAGAAGATGAGTTCAAGATCAAATATTCACACAAGAACTCATCTTTTGGTGATAATCACTAGTAACAACATAGACATTGACACAACGATCTTGAACCCTGAAGTATCCCAAAATTTTGGTTTCTCTCCAGAAACCGGTTCATCCCACTGTTTTCCGGTTATCTGATCTCTTAACTCTTTGATGGCCTTGTCTCTCTTCTCCCTCATCTGCATTTTCCATTTCAACAATCATTACAATACACCATTTGGTTCCACACTTAACTCAAAGAGTAAAGATACATACCCTCTGCAGCTTTCTTGTCTGGCTACGAGCTTCTTGCAGACAAAACTCAAGTTTCACCACCTTCTTCTTCAACTCTTGATATGTTCTTCTTTGTTTCTCCAACTGTGATTCAAGTTCTTTAGTCTTGAGTTTCCAATGAGATGACATTAGCCTTATCTCATCTTTTAGTTTTGCAATCTCATCGTCTTTTACACTCAATAGCCTATTCATTCTCTCAAAGTTATTTGGAGAAACCTCTTCCACAAGTCTCCTTAGCTCACATTCTGTGTCTTTACCTGACTTTGCAACAGCTTCGGTTATCTCACGTTCAATTCTCATAACTTCATCTCTCAGTTGTTTATTAGAACACTCTCTTTGGAGATTATCAAGCTGGTGGCTGAGCTGAGTTACACGGTCTTGGTGTTCTCTTAGAGAACTTGTTTTGTCGTCAAGTTGTTCTGCTATCATTGAGCATTGAAGCTGTGTGGATTGTGCAGAAGCAAAACTTGTTTCTGCAGTTTCCTTTGTTAAAGCTAGCTGTGATCTCAGGTCCTTAACTTCTTCAAGAAACTGTTTTCAACAAAAAGTACAAAACTAAAACTCATTAGAGAAACATTCTTTAGAATGACTAACACTTTCCTCAATACTTCAGTAATTCCAAAGACTATGTTGGTTGAGTAACTAAATCTATCTTATGTTCAAGAAACATTCAATAAAGGTCATAAATTAGATGCATTGAGTGCTCTAGTAACTGTTCTAGAGTTGCATTGAGTGAACCCTTTTGATCAGTATTGAAACTTAAGATTCTATAATTCATATTTTTGATTAAGACAAACTACAGTAGACATTGACTGAACACAGCTTCATCTACTTTTACTAGATTCTAAAATGCCATTATTCCAATATATAACAATAAGTAAAATGATTAGTTCAGAAAGTTTGAAACCACATAGTACTTTTTTCAGTACCATACACCAAAAATACTTCTCAAAGCCCCAAACTATTCAGATATAATATCAATTTTTTTTGGAGTTTTAAAGTGTATAAATGAAACCTTTTCAGCAGCAGAAGTTGAAGCTTCAAGATGACAGTTTCTATCTTCCAATGTCTTCTGCAAATTACAGATCTCCACTTCCATGTTCTTAGCTTTTGTCTCTGCTTCCTAAAGAAAAAAAAGAAAAAAAAAAGACAAATCATTTCTCCTCTCAGATACAAACAATTTTGACCCCACAACCCAAACTATGAATCAAACACTTTTAAAAGGGAATTTACTTTTCTAAAAAGGGTTTCTTTAACAAAAGACTGTTCCTGAGAAACCAAACGGCCTCTCACTTGATTTATCTCAGCAGACATAGACACCACATTACGCCGGAAACTCTCTTTCTTCCCATCCAAGTTTTTCAGAAGCGGATCCACCGTCGTTTTGGAGGATTCAGACATTCAGGTTTGTCTGAATCTGTTTGAAGCAAATCTCGGAAACTCTGTAATGAATAAGAAGAAGGAAACAAAAAATATTCATGCATGCGAAACAAAATCTTAATATTATAAAAGAAACAGAGTTGACCATTTAAAAAACTTTTAATGAATCAAAATTTATTTAAAAATATTTTTGTTCAGAGAACAACTGAGTTAAAAAGACGTTTACGAATTTAACAGAAGCCGAGTCTTCTTCAAGGTTAAATTTTCTCGGGAAGAAGTCGTTGTTAAGTGTGACAGAGGAGGTAGAAAGTGAAACACGTAGAGACAACACGCGGTCAATGTAATGAAGTTAACAGGCTTATTTGGTATGTGTGTCTGATGGAGAGGGAGAGATAACATATCTGGAAAGATATATAACATTATACTACTAATTTTCTTATAAACTTAATTATAATTTTCCACTAACTATGGCTAGTTTTCTTATAAATGTTTTCTCCAAAAAAATAAGAATCCAATAATATAGGTAGGAGAATTTTTCATGACCTAAACAATTTTATATTTCAATTTTTGTTTGACTAGGTGGTCACAAGGATATGTCTTGAATCTTTAGTATAGTTGAATCATAGGTTAAATGAAAATTAAAATACTAAAAACTTAAACAAATGGGAACAATATGAAAAAATCTACATTTAATCCCCTATATAGTGAAGTCAACACATTTATTTCGACAAAAAAAAAACAACAACATATATTTCAACAACAAAAGTGTCATTCATCAGTGAGTGAAAAAACATTTGATTTGGGCTAATGGGCTTAAACGATGGGCTTCAACAAACAATCGTGAGGTTTTACTAAGTAAATTTCATCCCGAGATACCAGAAAAGATTTGTCAACAAACAATCGTGAGGTTTTACTAAGTAATAAGAGAAGATTTGTCAACGGAAAAGCTTCGAATAATGGCGTTGATGCAAATGTTACAGAGCGTGAGATCTCTTCTAAGGACAGCACAACCTTCTTCGACTCTAAACCTCTCCAGATTCTACTCCAAACCCGCTCCTTATGCCGGTAACCGTTTTTTTTTTTTGTGTTTCTTACGCTTCTGTGTCGATTCAGATTAGGAGATAGTGTCTGATTCGTTAACTTAGGACTCATGGGGAGGAGTTTCATTAGTGTGTGGACTATATAGAGATAACTTTAGGCTTCGAGTGCTAGTGAACAATTATTAAATGTGTGTTTCTCTGTTTTTAGATGTTATCCAAAATGAAAAAAAAAAGGAATGATTTTTTTTTTTCTAAAGGAATGATTTTTATGCTAGTGAACAATTGTTAAATGTGTTTTTACTGGTTTCAGTTCTTAGATGACTCCAAAATGAAAAAAAGGAATGATTTTGTTTTCTTAAATGATCTGAAGTGTAGTGTTTAAATTTCACTGTTAATGATCATCATATGCTATTTTAGGTTCCCAGTATTTTGTAAAATGCCTAATTATAAAGTGTTAATGTGAATTGTGTTTTTGGGTTGAGCCAAAGTTTGGATTTTGATTGATCTTTTTGTGATGTTTAAGTGTGTTCATAGTGAGCTTAGACATGGAATGCGATTGTAAAAAATATTAAGTGTGTTTTTTCACTCGTTTCAGTTCTTAGATAGCTGCAAATTTGTAAAAGGAATGTTTTTTTTTTGTTTTTTTTTAACTGAGTGACGTAAGCTGTGTAGTTTCATTTTTTCACTATGCTATTTTAGTTTCCAAGGATTTCTGTAAATGCCTAACTATAGAGTGTTAATGTGAATCCTCTTGGATTCAACCAATAGTGAGGATGTTCATGTGAATTTTGTTTTTGGGTTGAGCCAAAGTCTTGATTTTGATTGATCTTTTGTGATGTTAAGTGTGTGTCCATAGTGAGTTTAGACATGGAATGCGATTGTAAAAAATATTGTGTGTTTTTCACTCGTTTCAGTTCTTAGATAGCTGCAAATTTGTAAAAGGAACGATTTTTATTTTATTTTAAACTGAGTGACGTATACTGTGTAGTTTCATTTTTCACTGATAATCATATGCTATTTTAGTTTCCAAGTATTTCTGTAAAATGTCTAACTATAGAGTGTGGATGTGAATTCTCTTGGATTCAACCAATAGTGAGAATGTTAATGTGAATTGTGTTTTGGGGTTGAGCCAAAAAAATGGACTTTGATTGATATTGTAGTGATATTTGCAGTGAAGGTTGGGATTCCTGAGTTCTTGAGTGGGATTGGGGGAGGAGTTGAGACTCATATTGCCAAACTTGAAACTGAAGTTGGTGATCTTTCGAAACTGCTTGTGACTCGTACCCTCAGGCTCAAGAAGTATGGCGTCCCTTGCAAACATGTAAGTACTCCCAAAGCTTCTGTTCTGCACTTCTGATTGTATATGTACATAGATTTCAGTGGACATTCGGTGTTTGATGTTGTTTCAGAAAAGGTTTCAAGGGTATGTTAGCAATGAAACAATACAGTGCTTTGTATCTGCTCCATGAAGTAGTTTAGAGAAGTAACTATACAAGTTTAGGAGAAAAGAAAAAGAAAACTTGAGTTCTGGGATTGATAATGATGTAATATTTCGGCTAGTGTGGGGGTCTTATTGTTAACTTTCAAAAAAAAAACTTGAAATGTAGGCTTGTCCATGCTGCCAGTCACTCACTAAGTCATCTATCCTTTCATGTAAATGTTGATAGGTTTGGTGAAAAACACTCATCAATAATAACTTGAAATGTAGCTATTTTTTTACTCAAATCATTATTTTTTTGTTGACACTTGTGCATTCTGTTTTCTTTTGTGCAGAGGAAGCTGATACTGAAATATAGCCATAAATACAGGCTAGGGCTATGGAGACCTAGAGCTGATGCTATAAAGGCCTGATTGATTCCTTTCCTTTGTCGAATTGTGTGTCTCTGTCATGCTTGGTTTTTGCTACTGAAATGAGTTCTTCTCAGAATGGTTTAGGCGTAGCAAAGTTGCCAGTTACTTGAAACACCGTACTTGTTTTTTATTCATTCATGTACTTGTTTTCTCCATGGATCTAGAAACATTAAAGCCAGGCTTGGAATCCTAAAACAGTAGTAGTTTTGAAGTATTGAATGTATTGTATTGGGGCTCTCCCTTGATCAAGACTGCCTTCAAAGTATCAGAGCACATGCCTATTTAACTCCTTTCAATCTTTCAACTACATGAGATATAACAGCAACTTTGGTGGAGAGATTTAACCATCATGTATTACTAATGATCAAGATATTAAACTTCTCTTTAATACCTATAACATAAAAGCCATCTTATTCTTCAAGTTTCATCTTCCACTATGCTACAAAATTCATTATGATTGTCAATGTAGATCCATGTGATGTGATTAGTAGTTACTCCTTTCACTCTAAAGCCTTCTCAGATTCAATCTCATCACAACCCAAATCCATAAAACTTGACCATAGTAGTTGAAGTAGTTGTTTTAATCCATGCTCAAGCTAACTATTGTATTCTTGGTCACATGCTACGATTTTGAAAAGTTTGAAATATCAAATCTTTTAATCTTCTACCAACATTACATCTGCATCATTCAATCCGGTTTAAGTTTTTAGGATAGTTTTGGATAATTCAAATAAAAACATTTAAGTAATTCATGTTGTTTGGGATTATATAATCCGATGATTCGAATTGCTAAGATAAATATGAGATAACTTTGTTTGGATAAAAATATCGATAATTCAGATTGAAATATGTTTGAAACTGAGTGATTATTGGTTTACCCGGTTCTATCCATAAGTCAACCACCGGTTAAACCAAGAATCACATACGTTGGTTTTATTTTTCCCGGTTTAATAGGAAAAAAAAAACCTAGCTAGCTTCACTTGGACAACAACATAAACCTGTGTCTGAACAAAACCCGTAGTATATATATTAACCACTTGATGCTCCTCCGTCTCTCGGCTCCCTCTATTCATCGCTACACTTCTTCTTCACCGTCTCGCTCTCCCTCTACGTCGTCGTTTTGCACTCTTCCAACCATGTCAACCAACCACCCAAAGAACGAGGCATATCTCTCTGCAGTCATCCCCAAACGCATCAAACTCTTCGAGCAGATCCAATCCCACCAGCTCCAGAACCTCAAATCCCTCCCACACGATCCAATCAAGTAAACTATAACATAAACACATTCATTATATTTTTTATAGATCACACCCGGTCAGACAGAATTGCTCCTTCGAAAATCTTCGGCCTGTTTAATCTAGTTTAGATGGACGGTTGATCGCCTCTGTTTACTACATAACACATAATTGTATTTATAGGTTTCAGTTCTAATGGTGTTATCATTACTTGATAATCAAGTAATCACAATGATCTAGCTTATACACAACACATTCATTGTGTTATTTTTTTTTTACGTTTAAACCACTGATTATGTTTTTGCCACGTGTATGTGTGTGTTTAGGATAACGTTACCTGATGGAACCGTGAAAGAAGGGAAGAGATGGGAGACTACACCAATAGATATCGCCGGGGGAGTATCAAAGGGTTTGGCTAACTCTGCGTTGATCTCAGCGGTTAACGATGAGCTTTGGGATATGAGTAGAGTCTTGGAAGGTGATTGTAAGCTTGAGTTGTTTAAGTTTGATAGTGACAAAGGAAGGGATACTCTTTGGCATTCTAGTGCTCATATTCTTGGTCAGGTAACAAAGAAGTGTTTTTAGGGTTTTTTTTAGTTTCTTGGTGGTGAAGGATGAGTGTGTAAAGGTTTGGTTTTTGTGTGTAGGCTCTTGAGCAGGAGTATGGGTGTCAGCTTTGTATTGGACCGTGTACTACGAGAGGAGAGGTATGAGCTGCTTGTTTTGTCTTTTTATAACATTATGTTCGATTAGTTGTGAAGTGGAGGAATAATATAGGCTTTGATAAAAAAAAAAAAAAAATTTATATAGGCTTTGATTGGTAGCTTGCGGAATGACGTCTAAAAATGCAATTCCGAAATTTACCAATCAATAAAATTTGCATAATACAATACAAAATGTTTTGTTGAAAAATACAAAATATTTTTTTCATTAAGTGGAGATTTAAAGTTTTGGAAGATTATTCGTGGAATCAAATTTTTCATATTGTTTAATAGATTATCGCAGTTTAACTATTTTTTCCGGGATTCCGCTAAGCGAGGCTTCAAGGATGGAACTTCTTTTGTTTATGATGCTGTGCTGAGCACGGTATTGTTGATTTTGTGTATTGTTATTATTGTAGGGTTTCTACTATGATGCGCTTTATGATGGCTTGACGCTGAACGATGATCACTTCACTAACATTGAAGCTGGTGCTGCTAAAGCTGCTAAGGTATTATTTCTTCTTTGTAAGTTAGAGTTGATGAAGTATGTCACCTAACTTTTTAGTCACGTTTTGTGTTAATCTGATTCTCTTCTGTTTATATCTCAGGAAGCGCAACCATTTGAAAGGATTGAAGTGACAAAAGATCAGGCGATTGAGATGTTCTCTGATAACAATTTTAAGGTGTGTTAAAAACTAAATGTATTGTTATCATTGAGTTTGTTATGTTTCTCTGACCATACACTCATATGTGACTCATACTTTCTGCTGTTAATTATCTAGGTTGAAATCATCAATGATTTACCTGCTGACAAGACCATTACTGTCTATAGATGTGGTCCTCTTGTTGATTTGTGTCGTGGACCTCACATACCAAACACTTCTTTTGTGAAAGCATTCAAGTGTTTGAAGGTGAGTTGCTTTTATATCTCCATGAGTCCAATCTACAGTTTTTTTTCTTGTGTTGACAAGTATATTTTTCTCAGGCCTCATCAGCTTATTGGAGGGGTAGCAAAGACCGTGAGAGCTTGCAGAGAGTCTATGGAATATCTTATCCAGATCAGAAACAGCTAAAGGTACTCATATTTGTTGTAATATTCTGAATGCTACATAGGGTTTCTGAGTATGTATAATATATAATCGTTTTTTGTCTTGGTTGTTACAGAAATATCTTCAATTTCTAGAAGAAGCCAAAAAGTATGACCATAGACTATTGGGCCAGAAGCAGGAACTTTTCTTTTGTCATGCACTCAGGTTCTTTCAGTGCTACTCAACAATGTTTTCCTCTTTGAGTTTCACTACTCATAATACTTTGATCTTCAGCCCTGGGAGTTATTTCTTCCTTCCACACGGCACTCGCGTGTATAACAAGTTAATGGAATTTATTAAGGAGCAATATTGGAAAAGGGGTTACAAAGAGGTTTTTTTTCTAACCTCTCATCTGAGTATTTAATGTACTTGATGAGTGGGGAGCAGAGCTAAAATTGATTTTTCACTTGCAGGTTATAACACCAAATATGTACAACATGAAGCTATGGGAAATCTCTGGACATGCTGCAAATTACAAGGAGAATATGTTTACTTTTGAAGTAAGAATACATGGAAAGCTTAAGCATGTTTAGCCTAAGGCTTTATTAAGACATGTGAGTGACTTTTGTGAATGTCTTTATGCAGATTGAGAGCCAGAAGTTTGGGCTCAAACCTATGAATTGTCCTGGTCACTGCTTGATGTTCCAACACAAGGTTCGCTCATATAGAGGTGCGACTCTGCTCCCGTACTATGATTGATATTACTTGTAGAAATTTAAGTTTACTGCCTAACAGACTCTCAAAACTCTCTATGACAAAAGACTTTGCTCTAAAATATAATTAGTGTTTTGTAACCTATTGTCAAGGAAGAAATTGCGAAGTTAATCATTTGTCTTCACTGACACCATCTTTGCTTATATGTTATGCAGATTTACCTATTAGACTGGCGGACTTTGGAGTGTTACACCGCAATGAGGCAAGTGGAGCACTTAGTGGGCTGACTCGTGTCCGACGGTTCCAACAGGTATATTAGACCATGATTAACTCGGGTTCTTAGATGAAATTTTTACCCGAAACTAAGAATCGTTTCTTAGCTTTTAACTAAGAAAAGCTAATAATCGTCTCTTAATAAGAGATACAAGAACCCGTTCTTAGCCGAAAAGTCTAAAAAAGAAATAAATAATGTCAAATCATAAGTTAAGAACCTTGAACTAAGAACCCGAGTTAACCATACTCTTATATGTCCTTTTTTAATTTGCTTATGTTATTTTTTTTCCAGTTCCTTGTTACATATTTGTTTCTTAATATGATAATCGCATTACTTATTTCAGGATGATGCACACATATTCTGTACAGAGGATCAGGTTTGCTATATATACTTGTGTCTTGCAATACTGGAGCTCCTTTTACCCTCCATTTTTTTGGTTAATATTTTTTGTTTGCAGGTCACTGATGAAGTGAAGGGTGTGTTGAAGTTCATTGACGATGCTTACACAATCTTTGGCTTTACCTATGAGTTAAAGCTTTCGACGGTAAAGATTCTTCAAATTTTATAGACTTTGGGTGATATGTTCTTAGGTCTCATTATTTTTTTTTCATGTTTATTTGAATATCTCAGAGGCCAGAAAAGTACCTTGGACATTTGGAAACATGGGATAAAGCTGAAAATGATCTCAAAGTAGCCTTAGATGCTTTTGGAAAGACATGGACGGTATAGACGTACTCTTATTAATTTTAATGAAACACTCAAGTTTTTTACTTACCCTAAAAGTGTGTTTTGTTTTGGCAGTTGAATGAAGGAGATGGTGCGTTCTATGGTCCAAAGATAGACATCACAGTGTCTGATGCAATGAATAGGAAATTCCAATGTGCAACTTTACAGGTTACACTCTCCCAAACTCTTTTCAGTTTTCTTTTTTTTTCTCCTCTTGATGAGTAGTTGATTGTATGTTTTTTTTGTTGTGTCATACCAGCTTGATTTTCAACTTCCTGCTCAGTTCAAACTAGAGTACTCAGATGACGACGAAACAAAGAAGCCGAAGCCGAGACCTGTGATGATACATAGAGCAGTGTTGGGATCAGTGGAGCGTATGTTTGCTATATTGTTGGAGCATTACAAAGGGAAATGGCCCTTCTGGCTTAGTCCACGTCAGGCCATAGTTTGCCCTATATCAAACAAGTCTGAGGCATATGCATTACAGGTTAGTGGCTGCACTCTTTGTTAAGTTTCTTATCTGCAGAGTCTAATCTCTGGTTCTTTTTTTTTCTTACACATTCAAATAGGTGAAGAAAACAATTCATGATGCTGGGTACTATGTTGATGCTGACATAACAGACAGAAAGATTGATAAAAAGGTAACAGTTTTGGGGTTTATGTTCTGTTTTTTTTTTGTTTTCTCCTTGCTGGTTTACTAGTGTTGATTTGAGTGATGGTTATGATGTGTAGGTGCGAGAAGCTCAGCTTGCGCAGTACAACTACATACTTGTAGTTGGTGAAACTGAAGCTGTTACAGGACAGGTTAGTTGATTTGACCTATTTCTTTAACTAATTTTGTTGTCTGAACATTTTGTTTTGTTGGACTCTTGACATATACAGGTGAGTGTTCGGATAAGAGACAGTGCAGCCCACTCGGTGAAGAGCATAGAGGATTTGCTGAAAGAATTCAAGACCAAGACTGATGATTATGAATGAGATCCGAACTCTTAAAAGTTCCAAGTGTTGTTGACTTATCTTTGTCATTTAGACCAGATTTAAAGTTTCTTTAACTTCTCATCTCCTCCAGCGGATTTAGTTTATCAATCTATTGAACCTAACAACAGTAAACTGAACAATATTATAAGATGTTGATTATAGTCAAAGGTAATGTTGTGTCTGAATGTGATCCAAGCTGTGTTTTCTGCATATGGGGTGGAAGATACTTGTAGCGTAAGTCATTGTGATGTGAACAAGACATGAAGGGGGCATTTGTGTAGATTTAAAAATAATGTGACGATTTTGCAATAATTGGGATAAATATGGAGCAAAGTTTTGAAAGTCCAAACCAAACCAAAATATTCTGACACAAAGACAGGAACTAGTTCTGCTTTTTCCAAGTGAAAAAAAGGAAATAACATTAAAATCTGTGACAATCTCACGTGCTTCCTCTTCTCTCTCCTCTGTAATTGAAGTTTGGATTCCAGTTTCCACATCCACGCGCCTTTTAGCCTCTCTCTCTCTCCTCATTCACTTTCTAGATTAAATCAAATCTTTGTCTTTGAAACCAGTTTGCAGTTTCTTCTTCACTTCTCCCTTTCTCCAGATCCGTTCCCTAGGAGATTTGTATGTGTCTCCAAATCTCTTATCTTTATGGCTTCTTTCATGATCTCTTCTTCTGTTTACTCTATGTAACCTTTCTAAATTAAGCTGATATTTTGATTAGGGTTTGTTATAAAAAAAATCATAATGCACATTCTTCACATTCTTTAGGTTTTGCTGATTTTGAACCTCTGACAATTTTACCTTTTTTTTATGTTTCTAAATTTTGAATTTTGAAATTTCCGCAATGAGTGGGTCTAGTTTCTAATTTTTCCAGCATAGAAAATTTGATTCTTTTTTTTTTTTATCTTCCTTGAGCAAGGCTTTAGTTTTAGAAACTTTTTGTGTTGTCTAGGGTTTACAAAAGATGAAACCTTTTGTCATGTATTAACACCACTTTCTTCTTCTATTCTTCTTGTTTTGAGTGTTTGCAGATAAAGATGGGGTTCATCTCAAGGAATGTTTTTCCAGCGTGCGAGACTATGTGCGTTTGCTGTCCTGCTCTAAGGCCGAGATCTAAACATCCTGCAAAGCGTTACAAGAAGCTGCTCTGCGAGATCTTCCCTAAATCCCCTGTAAGTGTCTCCTTATAGCTAATAACTGTTGAAGTTTGAACTTTTCACTTGTAAATTAGTGTAATCTTTGCTTCTGAGCACTATCTTGGTGTCTTTTAGAGTTATATTTGTTCCACTGTAACAACTTATGATGGTTTTTCTGTAGGATGGTGCACCAAATGAGAGAAAGATTGTTAAATTATGTGAGTATGCTGCCAAAAACCCAATCCGTATCCCTAAGGTATAGTTTTTTTTTTAATGATTCTTACTACATAGTTGGTTGGTGTACGAAGAGTCTTGTATGCAAGTTAAGTATATTGTGTATTTTTTGGTTTTTCACAGATTGCTAAGTTTCTTGAAGAGAGGTGTTACAAGGACCTTAGGTCCGAGCAGATGAAGTTCATCAATATTGTCACTGAGGCTTACAACAAGATGCTTTGCCACTGCAAGGATCAGATGTAAGGCAAAAGCATAGCGACATCTAACTGCAACATTCTAAACTTGTCACTAACATTTGCATGTTTCTTTCTTTCTCTTATTCAAGGGCTTACTTCGCTACAAGTTTGCTGAATGTGATTACAGAACTACTTGACAATTCAAAGCAGGACACACCTACCATACTTGGATGTCAGACATTGACAAGGTTCATTTACAGTCAGGTAATGTAACTAATGAAATTAATTGCTTCTACTCTTATACTAGTTCATGTTGAAAATGTGAAGTATCTAACTCTTCATCTGATATGAATAGGTTGATGGAACTTACACGCACAGCATTGAAACATTTGCGCATAAAGTTTGCTCATTGGCTCGTGAACAAGGTGATGAACATCAAAAGAAGTGTCTGAGAGCATCTGGTCTGCAATGCCTTTCAGCGATGGTAAGCACAATCTCACTTCCCTAAAAGTTTTTTTCCCCATTTTATCAGTGTTTTTTTCTTATGTTTGTTTCTTCATCAGGTGTGGTTTATGGGAGAGTTTTCACACATCTTTGCTGCTTTTGATGAGATTGTACACGCCATTCTTGATAACTACGAGGCAAACATGATCGTTCAGACCAATGAAGACAGAGAAGAGCAGAACTGTAACTGGGTTAATGAAGTGATCAGATGTGAAGGCAGAGGAAATGGAGTAAGCGGTTGTAATAGTCCTAGCTACATGATTGTCAGACCAAGAACTGCAAGAAAAGATCCAACTCTATTGACTAAGTAACTAAATGAATCCTCTAATCTTTTTGCTGTCGTGGCTCTCATCCACTTCCGAAATTTAACTTTATTGTTGTTTGTTTCAGGGAAGAGACTGAGATGCCTAAAGTTTGGGCACAGATTTGTCTCCAGAGGATGGTTGATCTGGCTAAAGAAAGCACAACTCTGCGGCGTATCTTGGATCCTATGTTCAATTACTTTAACTCTAGACGCCAATGGACTCCTCCAAACGGTCTAGCCATGATAGTTCTGTCTGATGCAACATATATGATGGAAACCTCTGGTATCTGCTTCATCTCTCGAACACATCATCATATAATATCTATTTCTATTAAATATGATGATTAACTACCTGAAACATATGCAATTATGATGAACATATGCAATTATGATGAACATATGCAATCCTTGTCTATACATAATATGTGTACTTATAGTAATGTTTTTTTATATATATTAGGGAGTCAGCAGCTGGTGTTATCGACTGTTGTACGTCATCTTGACAACAAGCATGTTGTCAATGATCCTGAACTCAAGGCATATATCATACAAGTTGCTGGCTGTCTAGCAAAGCTGATCAGGACCAGCTCGTATCTCAGAGACATAAGTTTTGTTAATGACTTGTGTCGGCATCTGAGGAAAAGCTTTCAGGCAACGTCGAGATCAGTTGGAGAAGAGGAGCTCAACTTGAACGTGATGCTTCAGAACTCTATTGAAGATTGTCTGCGAGAGATAGCTAAAGGAATTGGAAACTCACAGCCATTGTTTGATATGATGGCTGTTTTAGTCGAGGGGCTTCCTTCTTCAGGAGTTGTTTCACGTGCAGCAGTTGGATCACTGTTGATTCTCGCTCATGCTATGTCTTCAGCATTGTCACCATCTATGCGTTCACAACAGGTGAACTATAACTTTGTGTGCTCCTCTCAGTGTTATCTTTACAAGTTAGTTAATCCTCTTTACTGTTAATACAGGTTTTTCCAGACACTCTTCTTGATGCGCTTCTTAAAGCAATGCTGCATCCAAACGTGGAAACTCGTGTTGGAGCGCATGAGATATTCTCTGTTATCCTCTTGTCGAGTTCTGGTCAGTCTCAGGCTGGACTTGCATCAGTGAGAGCTTCTGGTTATCTTAATGAATCCAAGAATTTGAGAAGCGACACAACCTCTGCGTTCACATCTATCGCTGCTAGATTAGATAAGCTCAGAAAAGAGAAGGATGGTGTCAAGATTGAGAAGAACGGCTATAATAACAATACTCACGAGGATCTTAAGAACTACAAATCTTCCCCAAACTTCCACAAATTGAACTCCATGATTGATAGGACTGCTGGAGGTGTCAGTCTAGCTGATATGGTAACGTTTTTAATCACATTATGTGCTAATGAACCATTACATGTTTATGCAGTCGTCTAATACTATCTCATGTTGCAGTTACCATCAATGATGAAGTTTACTGAAGATCAAATGGGGCAATTGTTGTCTGCATTTTGGACACAAGCAACTCTTCCTGATAATACACCTTCAAACATTGAAGCTATTGCTCATTCTTTGAGTTTGGTGCTTCTTTCCTTGCGACTAAAGGTCACCTCTCTGTCTCTCTTAATGTCTACACTTTGGTGATGCTAATACTTATAAGCTTCTTATGATCATTTTTAACTGCAGAATCCTGATGATGGGCTTGTTGTTAGAGCCTTCCAGCTTCTCTTCTCACTGAGGAATCTTTCGTTGGACCTTAATAACGGTACTAACTGATTACACTCTCTTAATCTGATCATAACGTTTAGAAATTACTTATGTGCAACCAAAATTTCTTCATTGCCAGGCACATTACCAACGGTTTGCAAGCGATTGATCCTTGCTTTATCCACAAGTACGCTGCTGTTTGCTGCCAAAATATATCAAATTCCCCATATCTGCAAAATCTTGAAGAGTCAACTTCCTGGCGATGTGAGTTCTCAGTGTGTTGTTTCAGTTATTATATCTAATCCATAAAGGTTGTGTATTAACTTTGATTATGTGCTCAAAATTTTCAGGTGGATCCTTATCTCTCCATTGGAGATGACTTCCAACTTCACGTTAAACCACAAGCAAATATGAAAGATTTTGGCTCCTCAAGTGATAGCCAGATGGCTACTTCAATGCTGTTTGAGATGAGAAGCAAAGTAGAACTTTCCAACACTATCATAACTGATGTTGTGGCTAAAAATCTATCTAAGGTTTCAAAGGTAAAGCTTGTTTCTCGGTGAATAATAGCTCTAAAGCATATATATCTTGTGCTAACTTAATTTTTTTCTATATATTCTCTTGTTAAGCTGCAAGAAGCTGATGTACAGGTGCAACTCTCTGAGCCATTCACACCAGATGATGCTTTTATGTTTGGATCACGGCCTATCGTTGAGCCTGAAAGAAACCAAAGTATCTCTAAGGAATCACTGTCCTTTGATGAGGTAAACTATTCTCGTATGACCCAGCTTGGGTTTATCTTTGGGACTTTGGTATAATATATAGTTTCTTTTGTTACAGGACATACATGCAGGTTCAACGGTTGAGGACGAAGTGACAAGTGAACTCTCTGTACGTTTTCAACCAAGAGGGTCCCCTTCATCATCTACTCCTCAAGTTATCAGTATTGGCCAGCTTATGGAATCTGTAAGCGCAGAACGCATTCAACATAAGTTAGAAACTGTTTTTTTGTAGATGTGTGTCTTCTTATTTGGTTCATGATTTGTTGTCTAGGCCCTTGAGGTGGCTGGTCAAGTAGTTGTGTCATCTGTCTCCACTTCTCCACTTCCTTACGACACAATGACAAACCGCTGCGAAACCTTTGGGACTGGGACAAGACAGAGGCTCTCAATGTGGTTAGCCACTGAGAATCGCCAGGTGAATGGTCTCTACAGAAATTCATCAGAGAAGGAGTCATCTGCACTTGAAAAGGTACGGAAGAACCGAGTGTTGGTACACTTAATGTCCTTTACTAGTAAAGTATACTGAGAATGGTTGAAACTTGGCAGGTAACAGAAGATGGGAGCATCTATGGGAGAGAATGTGGTGTGTTTCAGGATACGTGGTCCATGATGAGTCTGCCTCCAGCTAGTCCCTTTGACAATTTCCTCAAAGCAGCAGGAGCTGGAAGATGATTCAGTTAACTCGGTGATAGTGTTGTGTGTAGTAGTGTGTAATCTTATCTTTGTTATTTGGTTTGTACTCTGTACTCTGTAGAGCTAACTATCTAGGCTAAGGCACGATGCTTCAGACACAGCTTGTAATGATTTAGATTCAGTAGTAGAAACCATTTGCGTTCTTGTGTGAAACGACCCTTCAATTCGAAATCTTTTAGACTTGGACGTTAAATTTGAAGCTTTAACTAATCAGTAATCACCAAACGTGATCACTACTTTGAAGGATATATTACAGAATCCATTCTTTATTCTTGTTTTTCCTCTTGAAGAAGAAGAGTGATTCTGTAACATTTTCTTAATCATTATGATAGTTTATTTGCATTTCATTCGATCTTTAAAAGGATTTACCCATGTAGACAATACAAATGTTGAAAAATATAAAAGAAAGGTTTGCTCCTGGATGACATGGTGAGAGAATCCTCCTCAGTATTGGCTACTTTTCACTTTATCTCAGCTCTCATGTCTGAGAAACTATCAAAAGAAACTTGCAGATACACAGACCATAAGCTTCTAGAATGCTGAGAGAAGATCAGACTCCAGAAAAGCAGACACTAACCCATTTCTTTGTTGCTCTTTGAACACTGAGACAAGATCATTAACTAAATGATCAACCAACGTAGAGACTATCTCTCCTTCGATATCAATGCCTTCTTCATAAGTCTCTCTCTCAAAATCAAGCCAACTCCCTTCTAAATTGCTCATCTCTTTGTCAACAAGCTCGTCCATCATCATCTCCCTCATCTTCTTCAACCCGTGAACCTCTCTGTTCAGTTCTTCAGCTAACCAATCTCTATGTTCAAACATAAATCCCTCTTTCCCCAATATCCCTCTGCAGGTACCCCTAAACATCTGCTCGCATTTGAGTGCTAAGGAGTTATTAACAAAATCAAATAATGTTCTTCTTCTGAGCTTGGCTGATGTGCCTTCTCCACGGCCCTCCATTTCATCAAAGAGGCTCGCAGGTAATATATCAGTAGCCATTCCCAAAGCAAACTCTTTCACCATAAGTTGATCAGAACTGAGGATCTCAGATATGTACTCAAGCTCCCAGTCTAGCCTTTCTTCGTCTTCTGAATAAGCCAGTGTTATTACAGACTCTGAGAGCTCAGACTCGTCTTGTGTTAAATGCGACTCATTTGCTGAAAACCATGTGGATTCTTGATCTGGTGAGGACTGTTTAATCCCTGTAAAGCGTTTGGCAAAGTAAAATTAGCTGCAATCAAGCTTCCTTTTTAATCCTTTTAATGCAAACAGTGTCTCATAGAATGTGGACTTCACAATATGCATTGATATTATGTGTTCGTTGGTGGAAAATCATGTATTAAAAACGTGGTGGAAAGAAAAAAGAAAGACTTGTCTTGTCTTGTGAAGTAAAAGAAAACGAACCATGTTCTGTGGTCTGTCTGCAATTTGAGAAGCCCTTGCTGCAGGAGCTTATGAGATCATCAGCTTCTGTCACAGTGCTAATGCTGCTAACTTCCTGCTCTTCTGCTTGTAACATCTTTTTTTTTTCAGAATAAACAACATTACACAAAACATTACCAGTTAGAAAGCCTTACATGATATAAAGAGAAAAACAATGGCAAGACACTTAAACTATAGAAAGCTAAATAGATTGGATACTTCGTCTCTTAGCTGGATCAGGAAACAACTAACCTGGAATTTTTGTTTGTCATAGAACGAAGTGCAGTCAGAAACAGATTCACTCTCTGATAAAACCGTATCCAGACCGTTTTGGGTCGACTTCCCGTTCCCCCCATCGTTTGCGCTGGAACGTGAGCACTCTTCTTGGGTCAGACTACAGCTAGAAGACTCAAGCTTAGAAGTAAGCTCTCTGAGCTTTTTCTCTAACAAAACATTTAAAGAATCACCACCAAACTTATCAAAACTAACTGCAGAGTCCGTGTCTTGGTCAATTCCCTGAGTGGAAGATAGTGAATCAGATGATAAACCTTTGATGGGAGATGAAAATGTGAATGAAATCACATCCATTTCCTTTTTCCGATCATCTTTGCCTTTGTTATCAATGGTGATGTTACATTTTATCACATTTTCATTACTTTTGATCCGTTTATCTCCAGATTCTTGCATCCCATTTGGTGGTTTCTTGCTCCGGGGAAGAGTCTTTTTTCGAGACAAAGATAGAGAAGTATTCTTTCCCGCCGATGCTGTTGTTAAACCCTGCTGCTTTGACACTGGAACCTTGTTTACAGCTTTGTTAATTACATTGCTGCTTTTTCGGTCTGGAACAGATGTTACTGAGCGTGGGTTGTCTCTGCAGTTCTGTTTCTGGTAATTCTGCTTAAGCACACTCTTTCCTGTGCTCATGGGTGTTCCTCTGAGACCATTCTGGCTTTTGACTATGCAATTTTTAGCTTCAGCTTTCTCCTTTTGGCTTCTGCTGATGCTTAAGGGCGTTGTGCTGGCCTTTGCTTGTGCAGGTACATAAGGTGGCTTTGCTTTTCTCTTCAAACCATCAGAACTGTCTTTCCCCATGGACTTACTATTACTAGTTGATGGTGTGGTGACTGATGCTGATGCTCTCTTCTCGTTGTGCTTTCCATTGACTTGGCGGCTTGACACTTTCTGTGCAGCTTCTAGTTTCTCTCTTAAATCTTGAATCCTCATAGGAACCGATGAAGGAGAGTTAGATGGCGTTGAAAAACGTGTTCTAGCAACCATCCTAGGACTTGGTTCAATCATTCTCGAAGCTGCTTCCATTACATAAACAGGGTTCCTGGATGGCACAAACCCAGGACTCCTGATAGGAGACAAGAGTCTATTATTGGTAACACAGATCGGTTTAACCGACCTGGGAGGGAAAGTTTCAGTCTGAAACCTCTCAATAGGTCTGTTGCTGCGGCCATCATTGGTTCTTGAATCCAAATGTTCACAAGATACTCCTCCATCATAGTCACTACGGAGATTAACATAACCAAGATTCTCATATGCATTCCATTTGCTTGTGTTCCTTGAAGGTCTGAGGAAGAATGGATCAAGATCAGGATTAAACCGAGGCTCCTGAACATTTGGTACTGGTAAAGACTCTAAACCCATGAGCCTCGCAACCACACTTGGGGCTCTTGTTCCCTGCCCTTCCTCATCACTAGTAACGGAAGATGCACAACAGCTTGACTCACTTCTTGGATTGTAACTCAAATTCTTACCAACCTCATCAACCTCAATCTGCATAAAGGTATCACAATAAACATCAACTACACTAACACGAGTCATAAATAAAGAAGACGAAGGCCAAGGGAGTAGTATTGAGAAAACTCACGAGAGAAAGAGTAGAGAGGTTTTGAGCATTCTGTTTTGTCTGCTTTGGTTCTTCTGGTACAGAAACAAGGACTAGTTATATATATTCAATCACAGCATTATAAAACAAGAACCAAAACATTCTTTAACCGTATAATCAAATCCTACTCACAAGAAGTACATTCTCTTAAACTAGACATATCTACATGATGCCATAGAGAGTATCACAAGAACTGAACAAAACAAAACATTTTCTAACTAGTTGTGACCATTATACTGTAAGACACACACCTGAGACTTCCGAGCTGCCTGAAGAGAAGAGCTTCTTCCGGGACTTTCCAGGCCAATCAAATAGATTCAAGAACCCTCCTCTAGATCGTTTCCTCTCAACAACTTCCATTTTTTTTTAATTATTCTTCCATCTCCCAGATTACAATCACTAAATAATATTTCTTTGAATCTTGATTTGAGAAACTGTAGTAAACAACAACCAACAAAAACGGCTAAATATTGTGTATAAAAACATCAATAATTGACACAACTATTAATCTGGAAGTAAATGGAGATTAAGACAGTTTTTAATCTAAAGTGGACACCACAGGATATATAATACAGAACAGAGCTGTGAAGATAAGACAAGACAACTCGAATAATATAGACACAGAGATACAACAAAACAAAAGACTTAAAACTTTTTACAGGAATCAATTAGATCAGAAAGTGAACTACTTTTTACCTATTGGTTTAACTTGAGATGCCAAAAGACCTTAACTTTCACTCACGGGCTTATTCCAAATTGGGATCTTTGATCAATTGAATTCTAATTTGAGACGTTAACAGTGAAATGCAGCAAAAATTAAAGTTTTAAGAGACCAATGAGGAGTGAGAAGAAAGAGAAAGGAGGGATTTTGAGAAATGGGTCAGATCAGTAAAGGTTAAAAATGAGAGAAGAGGGAGTAAAGTTTAATGATTTGGGATTTGGGACCAATGGGAGAGTGAAGAAGAAGAAAAGCAGAGAACTTGAAGTTGAGGAGGAAGAAGAAAACAGATACTATACAGTGTGGATTGATGTGACGAGAGAGAGAGTTAGAGAGGTGAAGAATAGTCAAGAGTGAGAGAGAGAACTGCGTTTTGAATTTTCCACTCTCTCACTCCCCCACCACCTCTGTAAAATCTAATTAAATTGAATTAAATGTGTTGTATCGATTTATTCTAAAATAGCATATTTTTAATTTTTTTTAAATTTTGGTCAAAACATATTTTTATCATAAAAATAGCACTTCAAACAAAAATTCTCAAAATAGCATTTATTTTTTTGTCATCCAAAATAGCATTTATTTTATAAGAAAGAGAAAACTAAATTTTAACTCCTAACACTAATCCCATCTACATCTTTAAATACTACAATTTAAAACCTAATAACTAAACCTTAAATTTAAATATAATATATATATATATATATATTAGTAAAAACTATTTTGAGAATTTTTTTTATTATGTATTTTTCGGATTTTTTTTTGTTTTGTTTTAGTGCTATTTTAAGTATTTTCTTTATTTTTTTATTGTTTACAGCTTCCAGTAAATTATGGAGTTCTCCCAGTATCCATTTTTGAACAAAATGGATTTTCGATCATAAAAACAAAAATTTGATAATTTGCAGTCCTTTTTTTTTTGGTCAAAGGATAATTTGCAGTTCAGTAAGCTGGATCAGTAGCAAATTGCAATAGTTTATAGTTAATGACATATCTTCTTTTCAGTTATAGAAGAAGGCAAAAACTTTATAGTAAACAGTGCTGCACAGGTCTAATAATATGCCAAATCGCAATATTTTTTTTTTCTGGACAAACGAAATAGTTTTTTTTCCATTGTTTTTGGGAGCCACAAAATGGGTTTCCGGGCTCCACTTTCATATATTTTAATGTGCTAAATGTATTTCAAGTTTCATTATTGTTACTGAATTTGAAAGTCATATCAACATTTTGGTGACTTTTGTATTTGTAGAAATCGTAATCAATGCACTCCAAATTGTCACCATTTGGCAATCTCTGCCGACCACCGCAGTTTACCATTTCTTCTGCTTTTGTCAAACACGTTTCTGTACTGTTAGATTCGGGTTTATTATGGGCTTCCAACTTAAAACTAATTGGTGATTAGTTGATTGACTCAAATCCTTTATATAGTAGTAGATTAATTCTTATATTTCCGATGTGGGATATTTCTCATCAATACCCTCCCTCACGCAATGTGGGAATAACATCCACAGAGGGTACAACATCGGTATAGTAGTAGTTGCTGTAGTAAATTAGGTCAAAAGATCTTATCGCTCTGATACCATGTTAGAATCGGGTTATTATGGACTTTCAATTTAAAACCAATTGATAATAAGTGGATTGACCCTAACCCTTTATATAGTAGTAGATTAATTCTTATATTTCCGATGTGGGATGTTTCTCATCAATATGTACAGTTCTCACGCCTTTCTCATTTTTTGTTAATTACACTGTGGGACAATTTTGTTATCAAGCTTGTGAAACAATCGGCACATGGTATTGTTCATGTGATACTTGTCTCATATGCAAGTTTTCCCTGATTTAATCATTAGACTTCGTTAATGTTATTACTGAAAGTGTTTTTAAGTTTTCACAATTCGGTATGCATCATTGTAAATGTGAAAAGTATATCTCTGTTTGAAACATCAAACCTAATCAAATCATGCGAACCTGAAAGAAAAGGTGGAACTAAAATGAAGTTTGGCAAGTAAACATAAAACGAATGATAGTGAAATATACAAATCTGAAATGAACAGTAAAAACTTATTCAAATCCAATCCAAATAAGGTCATATGCTGTTTGGTACCAAATTGAAATTTATTTTAAGTTTAAAAAGTACAATAGATAGTCATCAATCAAAAGCATTTGTTGAGATATTTGTATAAAACTTTTGTGACTATGATTCCATGTCTTTTCAGTTGCATGGTAGCTATCCTAAAACATAGTCAGATCTTGGGGAACATATTGGTGTGGATTTTTGGCAAAGCACAGCTACTTTTAATAGTTCGGTTCCACAAAATCCTTAACCAACCACCAGAAATCTTGTAGCATAAAAAATAAATCCTTGTAGCATCCACAATAACACATGCATTCTTAAGAAAGGAGTTAACTAGTTCTTTAAATCTTTGCGGTTGTAGAAGTAGAACCCAAAAAACGTGGTTTTTAGGATTTGAAATTATCTCAAGAAAAGGTCGACATAAATCAAATTTTTGGTCCACTAGAGTTCTTGACAGCAAATAAATATTTTCTGAGAGCTAAGACACTATCTCTTAATACTACTCCTACAAAGGTTCTATGTGATTGGATACATCCTAAAGAGGTGGTACACCGAATCCGAGTATTCTCCTTGCTTAATGTTCATAGAATGTTTGCAAATATCATGTGTGAGAACACTAAAAACCAAGTGCTAATATAAACAATGATATACTGAGATGGTGGGCACAGAGTTATTAATAATGTTGCTTATTTCTTACTTGAACAAAGGATCGTAGCCAGCGCCACAGGAAGGAAAGTTTACACCGGTTAGAAGATCATCAGGTTTCAGATTAGGATCTCTCTATGCTTGATCCTAATTTTTCAGCTGTTGAACAGACCATATTAATATTTATATATAATAACTAATGGATTACAAGTTGTGTCTTGATATTTTGATCACAAAATTGATGTTTTGAGGATTTAGTTCTTCAAGTACAAAACATTTTCTTCTGAACTATTTATTATTAACTCATTAAAAATGTAACACACGACTCACGTGCTAACATGCAAGTACTTATGCAACAAGTTTCAAAGTTAGTATCTAATACACGATTATGTAGCACCATGAGGTTGCGTCTCCCTCAGGCAAATAAACTGAGAAACGGACAAAGCGTTTTAAATAATCAGTCTTCTAAACCGCGTAGATTGTAACATCTAATTAAGATGCAATTCTTATACATGATTAAATGCAGGATCTTATATATATCTGACAATAACAACAAATGCAGACTCTTGTCTGAGTCTTTGACCAGTGACCACAAACTATACAAGTGAACGTTTATATTACTTATAAAATCAAGATCTAAAGTCATCAACATTTTCTTAATGAAATGATTGTCTTTTTGTCTTAACTAGGTCAGTGCTGTTTTTCTGTTTCTTTGGAATATTATTGTTCAAACAAAACTTGTGATAGGTAATTTATTTTGTTTCAGATTTAAAAGCTTATAAGCTTCAAACTAATTAGATAGATGCATAAAAATGAGTTTAAAATAGAAGAAATTGATAGAAAAATGAACATGCTTTATATTCTCTTCCAAAAACTAAGGAAGAAAAACAAGAACGAGTTAGAATATTTTCAAAAAAAAAAAAAACAAGAACGAGTTTTGGGAAGAGAATTAGCAACCCTGATCATTTTTAAGTTTTAACAAGTCTTTAACTTGCAGAATAAAATATGTATTGACTGAGTTATTATATTGATCCACTTTTTTTTGACTAAGAGCATTATATTGATCCACTCTAGAACCGACTTTTTCTAATACGTGAGGGCGTTCTTGAAATAGCCCGTTATGGATTTAAATACATGTTTAGCCAAATAGAGTATATATTATAGATTATTACAAGCTGAACTTTAGTTTGTACAAAATGATTCAACCATCTTTATTTACTAACAAAAAAATATATGACACTAGACGCGTGTCTATATAGTTTAGTTTTAACAAGTTAACGAAAAATTAAATAACAAACTTTAAGGTGGTTGACGACCCGCTTGGCTCTCTTGTTTGAGCAACGAGTGCTTTAATTTGTATGTGACGTATTTGTTTGATTGAAGTTCATTCTTGCCCCTGATACTTGTTGTATAAGGTACTTATTATTATAATGGAAAGGTAGTATTCAGTGTAAAAAAAAGCGTGGTTGATGAATAGCAGAACTAGTAAACTTTGAGAGCAGCGAATATTCCTGGAAAATTCAGATTTTGTCAATGCTTGCATCCCCTTTATATTCATCATTCGTCTCTTATTTTTCAAACTCATCTCTCTCTCTTGTTTACCAAAAAAACACAACTCTCTCTCTCTCTCCCTCTCTCTCTCACACACACACACACAAAGATCCTTTTATTTCAACACACACACAAACAAAGATCCTTTTATTTCACTAGAACTTAAAAGTGATCAGTGTGAGATGAGGAACATTCCTAATTTGCATGGGACCAGTGGGTACAATGGTTTAAAAGCTAATAGGTTCAAATTCAAGAAGTGAGTTTCTTCTATTAAATATCTTACAAGACAACTTTTCGTTTCTTTTCTTTTATGGTTAGGGTTAATTTTCGATCAAGGGTTTTAATATTTGAGTTTGTTTTCCCATGTAAAATCCGCAGTGCTGTGAAGAAAGTGATGAGAGATTTGTCGAATCATCAAAACATGGTTCAGATGGAGAACATGGTCAGAAGAATTGTGAGTTTTCTCGTCTTTTACAATTAAATAACTCACACTACGAGCATAAAACCACATAATTAAACAAGAATCTTAATTAATCACGGGATTAGTTAAATAAAACTGTTCCTACATAGCCACCAGCTCTGACTGAATTGTTCTTCTCTTCTGTCTCATTTTAATTTCAATCGTTTTAAATCTTGTGGGCTCCGTATCAACAATGAATGGTCCTGACTCCTGAGTCTAGTTATTATATAGTACTATATCATTATACACATTTTTTGGGTCTACTCCCTATGTTTCAAAAATAATATTTGTTTCAAAAAGATGTATTTTTTTACATTTTCAATGTATAACTTAAAGAAAAATTGTAGATTCTAAAAAAATTAATTATTTTTCTTAAAATTTTATTGATTAAAAATATAAAAAATTGTTATCTATAATAAATGATGTATTGGTAATCAAAATTGTATGTTTTTTTAGTATGTGTGAAAAAACTAAAACGTTTAACTTTTTGAAACAGAAAGAGTAAATGTTAAGATACATCATTATCATTATACACATATAACTAAATATAGTCTTAATGATCTAATTATATACATATAACAAAAGTGCAAGTGTGTTTAACTGTTAATTTAGTTTGTATGCACATGAACGTGATCGTATGTACTTGTTGCAACTTGCAAACATGTGCGTAGTTATATAATATTCGATGAAATATGTAAAGTAATAATTAACAATCTTTTCTTTTATGATATAGATTCGAGAGGAGCTTGATCGTTATAGTCAACGACATCATCATCATCATCTCTCTTCGTCGTGGTCCCAAACCGAACGCACACGTTCTGAAACGCAGTCATCACGTTCACGACTCGAGCTGCGGTTCATAAACTCGCCTCCTTCTAAAATATTCACTGAAGCCAAGATCGTAGCCAAGGACGGTTCTCCCATCGCGCTTGAGCTCGTGGACGCAGCCACGAACGCTCGAATCGTTTCAGGACCGCTCTCGTCTTCCCGTGTGGAGATCGTGCCGCTGAAAGCTGATTTCACGGAGGAGAGGTGGACCGTTGACGTATTCAAAAGTTATATTGTGAACCAAAGAGAAGGAAAACCTCCGTTACTCACCGGAAATCTAATTGTCACGCTTGAAAACGGCGTCGGTGTGATAGCCGGAGGCGTCGCTTTCTCGGATAACTCGAGTTGGACTAGGAGTAAGAATTTCCGGTTAGGTGCTAGGTTAACCGGTGGTGGTGCCGTGGAGGCAAGAAGTGAAGCCTTTCGGTGTAAAGAAAACCGTGGAGAATGTAAGTAATGGTTACTACGTTTGGTTAGGGTTAAAGACGCTGTTAATGCGTTTAGGTTGATTTATCAACCGTTTTAAATTGAGAAATAACCGCTAAACACACATTTTATCCAACAAAAAAGATACACAAAAAAAAAATTCTCAAAATAACGTTGATTAAAAATTTAAAAGATATTTTTATCTTGTATTTGCCTTAGAATTTGAACTAATTAAATTATTTTATCGTTAGTTAATGTTACTTATAGATTTCTTTTGGGTCAATTCTCTAAAATAGCACTTTTTTAAGTTTTTATCACAAAAATAGACATCAAAAATAAAAATGTATAAAATAACATTTTTTAAAAAAAAAATTTAAGTTTTTTTTAGAAAAAAATTTGAAACCCTATCCTCAAAACCCACTCCTCAATTCTAAATAAAAAAAAATCTAGGATTACTTAACCTAATGAGTATAAATGTATATTTAATAAAACATTTAAATACTATTTTAGTCATATTTGTGATAAAAACTGTTTTTAGGTCTATCGTAATTATTTCCTCTTTTTTCTTTTGTGTGGTTTTTGTCAGAAATTATTTTTTGTACTATCTAAATGATTTACTTATTTTAATTTTGGTCAGCTTATAGAAAACATTACCCTCCCTATTTCTATGACGATGTGTGGAGACTGGAGAAAATAGCTAAAGGTGGCGTTTCGGCAAAGCGTTTGGCAGAACAGAAGATTTATACCGTCAAGGAGTTTCGCCGTTGGTATGCAGTATACCCAAATGAGTTATACAACGTAAGATTATAAACCTAAATGAATTTAAATGAATCTTTTAATTAAGAATTAAACCATGATCGTCTAATAACATGTGTAAGTAGAGTGGTCGAACATGGCCCCAAATATTAAAAAAAAAAATAAGGAAAAATGAAGGAAAAATTAAGAATTTTTGAGAAATATATAGATAAATTATAATTTTTTTTTAAAAAAAATTAGATATATTGCTAAACTAGAACTTATAGTTTTAAAGAAACATCAAACATTGTTATTAATTTTTTTAAAAAAATTATTAAATCATAAATATATATATCATTAATATTTTTTTTTGAACATGGTCTAAAATTTTGTATGACGATCCTGAACTAAACCGACTAAAAACTACTGTTCTTGTTTAAGCAGATACTTGGTAAAGAGAGGAACTCAGGAGGGATCTCAAAGAGAACATGGGAAGCAATTGTATCACACGCCAAGACATGCGTTTTGGATGAAACAGATTGTTACATCTACAACGCAACCACTCTTGGCGTATCGCTTATACTCAACTCTGTATATGAAGTGATTAAAGTGGGCTTTAGTGATGGCACGTTTCGAAACCCTGATGAGATACCCACTTATCAGCTGGAGGATTTGAAGAGTAAAGCTTATGAGAATCTTGCCCTCTTACAGAGCTTTACGGAACATCCACAAAGATCCTTGCAATGCACGCAAACTCCTGGATTTGGCATCGCATGTCCTGGATTGCAGCACAACAACTTTCAAGGTATACAAGTTTATTCTGGTCACACTCTAGGTTTCTTGATATGCATACAGACTTGTTAAATTATTGATAAATATCCTATCATAGCACTATTATCGTCGCTTATATGGTCTTTTGATATGTATATCTTATTATAGATTTTACCAAAAAAATATCTTATTATAGAATCTTGCTAAATAAATTTTTTTTTTTTTTTGAATGTTTAGGAACTTCTGATCCATCAGGCTCTTTGAGTTCTCTTTACTTCACAGCTGCAAACTCAACCGTCCAACCAGAGATGCTAATGAGTTTTGGAAACTCACCAGCCACGACGTTTCATGTCGACAGAAATTTCTTACAAAGAAACAGCTTCAGGATAAGTGAACACGACCCGGTGCACAGTGAAACTCAAACTTTAACGACAATAGGTTATGTCGAGAATGCTGAGGATGGTCACGATAACACTTTTCCTTATAATAACCAACATGATATGTCCTCGAACCTTTCACCTGGTGGGGCGGATTGGGAGCAACAAGCGTTTAACAGTTTGTATGTTAGCGTGTTTGGCACGGAAGAAGCTGGAACTTTTAATGTTCGTCTTGCAAACACTGTGGGGTCTCCAAGAGCCAGGTGGTGTAAGGTTAAGGCAGCTTTCAAGATACGAGAAGTCTGGAGACAGACAGCTGCTAGCAGTGGCGGAGCCAGAAAGTTTTCTTACCGGGGTCAGAAAATAAATAAATAAATAGTGTATAAATTTTTAAAAATAGAATATAATATACAATACATTTTTCCTTGCAATTTTATTATAATTTGTTTATTTTTTTTATTTTACTACACAAATAATATAACCATCTAAATCCAAATATCTCATATTATTAAAGAAATCGATGCATTATTTAGTAAACAAAAACTAAAATTAGCTATTATCTTCAAATTATGGATATATATCTTCAATTTTCTATGAGTTTAAATCATAACCTATCTTGTTTAATCTAAACATAAAATATGATTATAGGGACTACAGTAAATTGTAACATATAAAGAACACTAATATGAAGTTATAAAGAAAAAAGAACACTAATGTAAATATGTGTTTATGTTTTAGGTTGTAGGAATAATAAACAAAATTGAAAACAAAAAAAAAACTAGCAAGTAAATAAAACAAATAACGTAAAGGATTTGTTGACACTTTAGATTGTCTTATATGGTTTCAGATGAAATTAGTTTCGAGTTAAAATGGAATCCAAAATTAAAGTGAGACCATAACAAAACTCAAAATCATTCTTTTAATTTATCTTTTACGTTTATTTTTTCACTGTGGGGTCACCTACAATTTTATGATGGGGTCACTAACAAATTTTAGTAAAAAAAACAAATTATTCTGAAAATTTAGTGGGGTCAGTTGACCCCCCTATTACCTTACTACCTCCGCCCCTGGCTGCTAGAAAGGAAGGCTTGTAAGAACCTTTACATGGCGTTCTAGGTTCAACGGTTTCGATTCTTGCAGTGCACGAAAGATGCATATATATTGTGTGCGGGTTTTTTTTCTCAGCTCATGTTTGATACTTTCTATATATGAACGAATAATTTAATTACATTTTTTATATTTTTTGTATTTGTTTTCTTCTCAGTTGAAATGCTTTTATAGCAAAGAGTTTGTAAGTTGTAGTCTTTACATGCTATACTTGATTCCTTGCTTTCTTGTGATGCACGAAAGCTAGTTATAGGCAGATTATGGTTTCCCCTCTTTGCCGGCACCATATCAGAAAAACTTGTTCTATGCCTACATTAAATTGCTGTTCTAAGAATTGTTTTGAGACTATCCTCCCACAAGGCATCGCTATCCTTTTAGATATGCCGAAAAATTATATGTAACTTTCATCCATTTTAAAACTCTATTCAAACAAGTATAAAAAAAAGACAGCGTTACAAGATATACCAAATCAACCAATACTATGAGTTTTCATAACATAATCAACTTTCAAAACAAACCATATATATCTCCACTTGTTTATTTATCTTAATAAAGAGTTGATTTCACTTTGCTAGAACTTATTAGAAATAATAAGTTGGGTTTGGACAGACTATTGTATTTGCTTTTTCCCTTTATAATATGTGTACTTTTGATTAAGAAGACTATTGGCTTCCTAATCACAAAAAGTCTATGAATAAGTGAAAACATTGCTGGCTTTTGCTTCATCACTTTTTCTGTGTTCTGTCTTCATGTGAACACATTTTCAGAATCTGTGATTCGTCTACTTTGTTTTCTCTAACACACACAATTATTAAAACAATTCCACAGATCCCGGTCGTGCGTACACCACTTGGCTTTCCACCCGTGACACGACAATGATTTGGCAGATGTTTTGTTTTATGTCATCAATGTACCAGAAAGCCATAATCATTATTGATCAAAAGACCAGCCAAGAAAGAGTTTATAAGGAGATCTTCAAGCCTTTCTTGATGACTAACTCATACCAGAAAACTAAAGCAATCTTCTCACAGCTTCTCCATACCAATCCTCTAGGGTTTACTGTAGTGATCAGAGCCCTTACAAAGGTTGGTTTCTATAATTTGAGGGATCACTGAGAAGCTATGGTCTTGCTCATCCTCTAACGTGTCAATGTTTCTCTTCTAAATTTTACTAGAGAAATGGAAAAAGAGAAGGAGACAGTTAGGTGTTGCAGTGATTGCAAGACCATCAAGACACCAATGTGGAGAGGTGGACCATCTGGTCCCAAGGTCTCTTCTTCTACCTTCAACTACTAAACTTACAACATTATTTGATCTTTAAGTAAAAAATTAGATAATTTAAGAAGTGTTCTTAAGTTGTTTTTATGTGTGGTGGAATCCGTAGTCACTTTGCAATGCATGTGGGATCAGATTCATGAGACAGAGACGATCTGAATTATTGGGTATTCGTTTTATTCATAGCCACAAAGCCTACAAGAAGATAAACAGAACATCAACATCGTCATTACACAGTGGCGTGGCTTTGAAGAAACGACGGAGGAGTCTGAAGGAGGAAGAACAAGCTGCCGTTTGTCTATTATTATTATCTTGTAGCTCTGTTTACGCATAGAATTCATATCTGGTTACAAATGGGTCTTAATGGTCAGAGAACTCGTGTACGGGTTAGCCGAACCAAACTGATAGCCCATGTACCTTGAAAATAAAATTAGGAAACATTAGTATAAATTTTTAATGAGGTTAGATATTTTAAACCACACTAAAGAGACTAAACTTAAGTATAAATAGTATTTATAGGAAAAATTCGATTTCTTTGTAGGGGTTAACCCAAAAACTTCAAGATAATTAAGAAAATATGGAAATTTTAATTTATGCATAAATTCTTTCAGTCCTGATATATGATGAATATCAAATAGTTTTGATACCTTAGTCATCCATCACTAGAAAATAGAGATTTTATAGGGTTTAGTTCATTAATTTTGGTGGTATATGGAGTTTTATTAAATTCATTAGTTGAAAATTAGAACTAATTCTCATGTACCATGAACATAATTTTAGTACATACATTAATATAAATTTTAAACGTGGTTAGGTATTCTTAAACAAAACTAAAAAGGTCTATATATAACATTTATGGAAAACTCGATTTTTATAGGGGTTAACCCATATATTTCAAGATAAATTAGAAAATATGGTATTTTTATTTTAATGAATTGTTTCATCATGCACTGACATAGTATGGAGAATAAAGAGGATTGAGACCTTAGGTGTTCTCGTTTCTCAAGAAAATAAAGTTTTTATAGGGGTTAGTCCACTTATTAGACATAATATGAAGTTTAAACAAATTATTCATTGGGAAATTAAAAACGATGCCCATATACCATGAAAATAAGTTTAGCATACATATATATAAATTTGGAGTGTGCTTATATATTTTAAACAACACTAAAGAGGTTAAATAGTATAGATATTATTCATCGGAAAATTTAATCTTTTCATAGGGGTTAACCCACATATTTCAAGATAAATTAGAAAATATAGTATATTTATTTTAATGCATAGCTGCATCATGAACTGACATAGTATGAGGATTAAAGAGGTTTTAGACCTTAGGAGTTTCTATTACTCAAGAAAATAGAAATTTTATTGGGATTAGTACCCTAATTAGGTCGTATATGAAGTTTAAAAAAGTATTCGATGGAAAAATATAAATGATGTCCATGTACTATTAAAATATGTTTAGAATACAATAATATACATTTAGAGTGTGGTTTGGTATTTTAAAATAAACATTAATGAGGCTAAACTTTAGTATATATAGAATTTATTGGAAAAAACCCGATATTTTCGTAAATAAATTAGAAAATATGATATTTTACTTTAATGCATAACTTCATCATGCAATGATATGTGATGAAAATTAAAGAGGTTTGAGACCCTAATTGTCCTTGTTTCTCCAGAAATTACAGATTTTATTGGGGTAAGTCTACTGAATTAGGTAAAATATGAAATAGGTGAAAAATCCTATTTTCTGGAGAAACATAAACATTTAAGGTCCAAAACCTATTTCATTTTCATATTATGTCAGTGTATGATGCAGCTATTCATTAAAACAAAAATTCCATTTTATATAATTTTTCTTGAAACATGTGGGTTAACCCCTACGAAAAAATTGAATTTTCTGATAAATACTATTTAACATCTTACGTGTTGTTTAAAATTACCCAACAACACTCCAAATTTATATATATGTTTTCTAAACTTATATTCAAGCTATATGGGAATATTTTATAATTTTCCTATGTTTAAGTTTTATTAAATTAATATAACACCTAATATGTGAATTAACCCCTATAAAAACTCTATTTTCTGAAGAAACGGAAACATTTAAGGTCTCAAACCTATTTAATCTTCATACAATTTTGGTGTATGATGCAGCTGTGCATTAAACAAAAATACCATATTTTATAATTTATTTTGAAATATGTCGGTTAACCCAAGCGAAAACATGAAATTTTCTGATAAATAGTAAATATTTTATTTAGCATCTTCTCTGTTGTTTAAAAATACCAAAACACACTCCAAATTTATATATATATATATATATATATTTTCTAAAATGATATTCATGGTACATGGACAGAATTTATAAGTTTCCAATGATTAATTTATTTAACATTCATATACAACTTAATATGTAGATTAACCCCCATAAAAATCCTATTTTCAGGAGAAAAAGAAACATTTAAGGTCCCCAACCTATTTCATTTTCATACTATGTCGGTTTATGATGCAGCTATGCATTAAAACAAAAATTCGATTTTTTATATTTTTTCTTGAAATATGTAGGTTAACCCCTTACGAAAAAACTGAATTTTTTTATAAATACTATTTAGCATCTTACGTGTTGTTTAAAAATACCCAACCACACTCCAAATTTATATATATGATTTCTAAACTTATATACAAGGTACATGGGCAGATTTTATAATTTTCCTATGATTAATTTTATAAAATTCATATAACACCTAATATGTGGATTAACCCCTATAAAAACTCTATTTTCTGAAGAAACGGAATTATTTAAGGTCTCAAACCTAGTTAATCTTCATACTATGTCGGTGTATGATGCAGCTATGCATTAAAACAAAAGTACCATATTCTATAATTTATTTTAAAATAAGTGAGTTAACCCTACGAAAAAACGAAATTTTCTGATAAATAGTATATATTTTATTTAGCATCTTCTGCGTTGTTTGAAAATAACAATCCAAACTCCAAATTTATATTTATATATTTTATAAACTTATATTCATGGTACACGGGCAGCATTTATAAGTTTCCAATGATTAATATATTTAACATTCATATACCACTTAATATGTGGATTAACCCTTATAAAAATTTTATTTTCTGGAGAAACAGAAACATTTAAGGACCCAAACCTATTTAATTTTCATACTATGTCGGTGTATGATGCAGCTATGCATTAAAACAAAAATTCCATTTTTTTATATTTTTTCTTGAAATAGGTGGGTTAACCCCTACTAAAAACTGAATTTTCTGATAATTACTATTTAGCATCTTACGTGTTGTTTAAAAATACCCAACCACACTTAATATTTATATATATGTTTTCTTAACTTATATTCAAGGTACATGGGCAGATTTCTAATTTTCCTATGATTAATTTTTATAAAATTCATATAACACCTAATATGTAGATTAACCCCTATAAAAACTCTATTTTCTTAAAAAACGGAAACATTTAAGGTCTCGAACCTATTTAATCTTCATACTATGTCGGTGTATGGTGCAGATATGCATTAAAACAAAAATACCATATTTTATAATTTATTTTGAAATATATGGGTTAACCCCTACGATAACACGAAAGTTTTCGATAAATAGTCTATATTTTATTTAGCATCTTCTGTGTTGCTTAAAAATACCAAACCACACTCCAAATTTATATATATATTTTCTAAACTTATATTCATGGTACATGAGCAGAATTTATAAATTTTCAATGATTAATTTATCTAACATTTATATACCACTTAATATGTGAATTAACCCTTATAAAAATTCCTATTTTCTGAAGAAACAGAAATATTTAAGGTCCCAAACCTATTTCATTTTCATAGTATGTCGGTGTATGATGCAGCTATGCATTAAACCAAAAATTCCATTTTTTTATAATTTTTCTTGAAATATGTGGGTTAACCCATACGAAAAAACTGAATTTTCCGATAAATACTATTTAGCATCTTACGTGTTGTTTAAAAATACCCAACCACACTCCAAATTTATATATATGTTTTCTAAACTTATATTCAAGGTACAAGGGCAGCATTTATAAGTTTCCAATGATTAATATATTTAACATTCATATACCACTTAATATGTGGATTAACCCCTATAAAAATTCTATTTTCTGGAGAAACAGAAACATTTAAGGACCCAAACCTATTTAATTTTCATACTATGTCGGTGTATGATGCAGCTATGCATTAAAACAAAAATTCCATTTTTTATATTTTTTCTTGAAATAGGTGGGTTAACCCCTACTAAAAACTGAATTTTCTGATAATTACTATTTAGCATCTTACGTGTTGTTTAAAAATATCCAACCACACTTAATATTTATATATATGTTTTTTAAATTATATTCAAGGTACATGGGCAGATTTCTAATTTTCCTATGATTAATTTTTATAAAATTCATATAACACCTAATATGTGGATTAACCCCTATAAAAACTCTATTTTCTTAAGAAACGGAAACATTTAAGGTCTCAAACCTATTTAATCTTCATACTATGTCGGTGTATGGTGCAGATATGCATTAAAACAAAAATACCATATTTTATAATTTATTTTGAGATATATGGGTTAACCCCTACGAAAACACGAAATTTTTCGATAAATAGTCGATATTTTATTTAGCATCTTCTGTGTTGTTTAAAAATACCAAACCACACTCCAAATTTATATATATATTTTCTAAACTTATATTCATGGTACATGAGCAGGATTTATAAATTTTCAATGATTAATTTATCTAACATTTATATACCACTTAATATGTGAATTAACCCTTATAAAAATTCCTATTTTCTGAAGAAACAGAAATATTTAAGGTCCCAAACCTATTTCATTTTCATAGTATGTCGGTGTATGATGCAGCTATGCATTAAACCAAAAATTCCATTTTTTATAGGTTTTCTTGAAATATGTGGGTTAACCCATACGAAAAAACTGAATTTTCCGATAAATACTATTTAGCATCTTACGTGTTGTTTAAAAATACCCAACCACACTCCAAATTTATATATATGTTTTCTAAACTTATATTCAAGGTACATGGGCAGCATTTATAAGTTTCCAATGATTAATTTATTTAACATTCTTATACTACTTAATATGTGGATTAACCCCTATAAAATGCTATTTTCTAGAGTAACAGAAATATTTAAGGTCTCAAACCTATTTTTTTTTCATACTATGTCGGTGTATGATGCAGCTATGCATTAAAATAAAAAATTCCATTTTTTTATAATTTTTCTATAAATATGTGGGTTAACCCCTACGAAAAAACTGAATTTTCCGATAAATACTATTTAGCATCTTACGTGTTGTTTAAAAATACCAAACCACACTCCAAATTTATATATATGTTTTCTAAACTTATATTCAAGGTACATGGGTAGATTTTATAATTTTCCTATGATTAATTTTTATTAAATTC